CCCCATGCCCCCCGCGCGCTGCTCTGCCCCAGTGTCCAAAAGGGGGGGTGGTGGGGGGGGGGGGGGGCACTAGCTGCGCCCCCCTCCCCAGCAGACCAGGGAGACGCAGAGCGGCTTTTCTCGCCGTGGAGGACGCAGGCGGCGGGACCGCCGCAGCACGTCTCGGCGGTCTGCTGCGGGGGAGGGGAGGGCGCAGCTAGTGCGAGGTGAGTCACCCCGTTCGTAAGTAGGGATCTGACGTAAGTCGGATCCATGTAACCCGGGGACTGCCTGTAAAGAGTTGCGTAATAATTTCTAACTGCAAGCAATAAACAATGCATAGCCTCTGGAGAGGAAGCAAAGCACACACACTGACTTGCTGGGGATAGCAAAGAGTAGGCAGGGAACTGTGATGCCTGGAAAATCCTCAGTTAGGAGGGAGAGAAATGTGGCTCTCTGCCCAAGAGAGACAACAGCTAAGAATTCAGAAGATTTGCATTGAGGCCTTGAGGGATCACAGAAGAGGAATATAGATGCAGTTGTCTTGAACTGTGACAAGTATCACTGATGAAGCTGCACAAGGTGAGAATATTTAAATGAAATATTAAACAAGACCTCTATTCAGTCACCCCTTTATCTCACCCCTCACATCCAAAACTATTATTCTTTCTTGAATACAAACATTTTCCCACTTTTCAACAGATAAGAGGGATCACTCTATATGTTTTGGTGCTTAATTCTCTAGTGTCTCAAGATTGTAGAGATATTTCTGATAGTTTCTGGGACTCTATAGCTGGGACAACATTTACCTTTGGTGCATTCAATTTCTTCACTAAATTTGTAACCTTATTTGATATGCTGCTTTCTGAAGAGCTGCTCCTCAGTGCTAATACAGATGATAACTTTGAGTCCCGCACTTTGGTCTTGACGTTTTCTGATATCTTTATGAATAATAAAATAAATCTTCAGATTTTTAAGTATGCAAAAGAAAAAAGGCATGAACAGCAATATTAGTCTGAAAGATCTAAACTCTATGGCATTAAAACTATAGTAAGAATTTTTAAAGCAAGTTTGAGAAAACAATAGCTACAAAGTACTACAACATCCCGTGTTGGTTTTGAAACCACATTTGGAGGTTTTTACAAAAGCTGAAAAAACTTAACACACAAATGGTCCTGCTGCACCTAAGACGAATAAAAAGCATAAGTAGTATGCGGTCTCGTGGGTACAATCATGAGCTCTCGTGGGCACAATCCAATTCTTCAGCCATTCATCTGAAGTGAGTTGTGCCCACAAGCGCTCATGATACTATCTACATTTGTTGTTAGTCTCTAAGGTACTGCAAAACCATTCATTTAAGTTTTTTCAGCTATAGATTAACACAGCAACCCCTCAGACTTTTACACGAGCTATTATTCACTCTATACTTTTGAACACTAAAAGCAGACCGTTTTGGCCTATCCCCCCCCCCCCAAAAAAAGTCAGCAACAACTACACGTAGGGCTACACACAAGACGTTTGGAGTGAACGACACTAGGCTAGTGTGTGAACACAGTGAATTTCACACACCAGCCAGGTCAACGTAAGAACATAAGAATGGATGTACTGGGTCAGACCAAAGGTCCATCTAGCCCAGTATCCTGTCTACCGACAGTGGCCAGCACCAGGTGCCCCAGAGAGGGTGAACCGAAGACAATGATCAAGCAATTTGTCTCCTGCCACCCCTGGCTAATAGCCTTTTATGGACCTAACCTCCATGAAATTATCTAGCTTCTCTTTAAACTCTATTATAGTCCTAGCCTTCACAGCCTCCTCTGGCAAGGAGTTCCACAGGTTGACTACACGCTGTGTGAAGAAGAACTTTCTTTTATTAGTTTTAAACCTGCTACCCATTAATTTCATTTGGTGTCCTCTAGTTCTTCTATTATGGGAACTAATAAATAACTTTTCTTTATCAGCCCTCTCCACACCACTCATGATTTTATAGACCTCTATCATATCCCCCCTCAGTCTCCTCTTTTCTAAACTGAAAAGTCCCAGTCGCTTTAACCTCTCCTCATATGGGACCCGTTCCAAACCCCTAATCATTTTAGTTGCCCTTTTCTGAACCCTTTCCAAGGCCAAAATATCTTTTTTGAGGTGAGGAGACCACATCTGTACACAGTATTCAAGATGTGGGCGTACCATAGTTTTATACAGGGGCAGTAAGATATTCTGGGTCTTATTTTCTATCCCTTTCCTAATAATTCCTAGCATCCTATTTGCCTTTTTGACCGCCGCTGCACTCTGTGTGGAAGTTTTCAGAGAACTGTCCACGATAACTCCAAGATCTCTTTCCTGATTTGTCGTAGCCAAATTAGCCCCCATCATACTGTACGTATAGTTGGGGTTATTTTTCCCGATGTGCATTACTTTACACTTATCCACATTAAATTTCATTTGCCATTTTGTTGCCCAATCACTCAGTTTGGTGAGATCTTCTTGGAGTCCCTCACAGTCTGCTTCTGTCTTGACTATCCTAAACAGTTTGGTATCATCTGCAAACTTTACTACCTCACTGCTTACCCCTTTCTCCAGATCATTTATGAATAAGTTGAAAAGGATTGGTCCCAGGACTGACCCTTGGGGTACACCACTAGTTACCCCTCTCCAATCTGAAAATTTACCATTTATTCCTACCCTTTGTTTCCTGTCTTTTAACCAGTTCTCAATCCAAGAAAGGACCTTCCCTCTTATCCCATGGCCATGTAATTTACACAAGAGCCTTTGGTGAGGGACCTTGTCAAAGGCTTTCTGAAAATCCAAGTATACTATATCTACTGGATCCCCCTTGTCCGCATGTTTAACCCCTTCAAAGAACTCTAATAGATTAGTAAGACAGGATTTCCCTTTACAGAAACCATGTTGACTTTTGTCCAACAAATTATGTTCTTCTACATGCTTCACAATTTTATTCTTTACTATTGTTTCGACTAATTTGCCCAGTACTGAAGTTAGACTTACCGGTTTGTAATTGCCAGGATCGCCTCTAGAGCCCTTTTTAAATATTGGTGTCACGTTGGCTACCTTCCAGTTATTAGGTACGGAAGCCGATTTAAAGGATAGGTTACAAACCACAGATAATAGCTCAGCAACTCCCCATTTGAGTTCTTTTAGAACCCTTGGATGAATGCCATCCGGTCCCAGAGATTTGTTAACATTAAGTTTTTCTATTTGTTCCAAAACTTCCTCTAATGACACTTCAATCTGGGACAGTTCCTCAGATTCATCACCCACAAAGGACGGTGTAGATTCAGGAATCTCCCCAACGTCCTCAGCCGTGAAGACTGAAGCAAAGAAATCATTTAGTTTCTCCGCAATGGCTTTATCATCCTTGATTGCTCCTTTTATAGCTCGATCATCTAGGGGACCCACAGGTTTTTTAGCAGGCTTCCTGTTTAAGTACATTAGAAGCATTTTGTTATTTCTTTTTGAGTTTTTGGCTAGCTGTTCCTCAAAATCTTTTTTCGCTTTTCTTATTACATTTTTACACTTGATTTGACAGTGTTTATGTTCTCTTCTATTGATCTCACTAGGATTGGACTTCCACTTCTTAAAAGATACCTTTGTGTCCCTCACTGCTTCTTTTACATGGTGGTTAAGCCACAGTGACACTTTTTTAGGTCTCTTGCTATGTTTTTTAATTTGGAGTATACATTTAAGTTGGGCTTCTATTATGGTGTCTTTAAAAAGTTTCCATGCAGCTTTCAGGGATTTGGCTCTAGTCTCTGTGCCTTTTAATTTATGTTTAACTAACCTCCTCATTTTTGTGTAATTCCCCTTTTTGAAATTAAATGCCAGAGTGCTGGACTGCTGAGGTGTTCTTCCCACCACAGGAATGTTGAATGTTATTATATTATGGTCACTATTCCCAAGCGGTCCTGTAACGGTTATATCCTGGACCTGATCCTGCACTCCACTCAGGACTAAATGGAGAATTGCCTCTCCCCTTGTGGGTTCCTGCACCAGCTGCTCCAAGAAGCAGTCATTTAAGCCATTGAGAAATTTTATCTCCACTTCTCTTCCTGAGGTGACATGTACTGAGTCAATATGGGGGTAATTAAAATCCCCCATTATTATAGAGTTCTTTATTTTGGTAGCCTCTCTAATCTCCCTTAGCATTTCAATGTCAGTATCGCTGTCCTGGTCAGGTGGTCGGTAATATATCCCTACTGCTAATTTCTTATTATTGGAGCATGGAATTACTATCCATAGCGATTCTATGGAACATGTCGATTCACTTAATATTTTTATTTCATTTGATTCTACATTATCTTTCACATACAGTGCCACTCCGCCACCCACCCCGGACAGATAGTTCTCAGGGGTTCCCCACTTGCAAAGCAGTCCTGGCTTGGAGTGCCCTGAGTGCCCACACTGGGCACATCACAGCACTCGGCCATCAGACCG